TTTATCCTTATCTCTTGTAATCTCTATATGTACCCTATAGACTTGGTTTTTACGAGTAGATGAAAATAACAGAAAAGAGATCTCTTTCTCCATGTCTTCTCTCTTTATTTCGGCAAATCTGATCGACCACATGGGATTCGATTACGTCCTCTGCTTCGTAGGATGCTTCCGCTATACGACCTTCCAAGCGCTCGAAATCTTTAATGACACCACCGTTAACGGAATAATTCTCGAGGAAGTCCTGCAAGAATGTGAGGTTGTGTGTAAGGGATTGAAGGTGTTTAGTGTGGAGAGAAATTGGAGGGCGAGGATGATTTTGGATCTGATGTATTGTGTGAAGTTTATGTTATGCTTGTGTGAAGTTTATGCAGAAATGAAGATACTATAAAAATGCACCACTTTAATTTGGTGTGGTGCGTTGCCACTTGCCAACATGTATCATGTATGTATGTATTATCATTATTATTATTATTATTATTATTATTATTATTATTATTATTATTATTATTATTATTATAAAAGATTGACTGTATGAGTGAGTTTATGTGTATGTAAAGAAACTTTGGCCCACACACAGTCACAGACCATAGGTTGTTTGTCCGGGTGCTGATATTACAGGCAGCAGTCTCGGCCGGCGGCTTTCTTTATTTGACAATTGCAGTGGATTTATTCAATTGAGCAAAAGATCCAATTGGCATTCAAAAGTGGAGCAAATTTATTTTCTAACTTAAAAAGGGATTTAGAATTACACACATAATGCACTCATGTGCATGCACAGGCTAAAGAGACTTGATTTATCTATGTATACTAGGGGTGAGCACAATCTCTGAATCGTACCGATGTTCAGAGATTACTAAATTCAATCTTCACAACCGTTCCAAGAATTTGGTTCGATTCGGACGAGTTTTTATTTTTCGGCTCGGTTCGTTTTGGCTCGATATTCCGGACTATCGAAATACGGTTCAGGTCGGTTCGGATATTCAAAGATTTTTAAGTATTTTTAATTTCTTTGAATAACCACTCAGATATATTTTAAATTTTTATATGTTTTTTTAAGTCCAACATTCATCATACTAAAAATTTTATTTTTATATAAATTTTAGTTAACTCTATATTTGTGCAACTAACATTAAAAATTTAAAATTCAAACAAAATATAATATAGTTTTTTATTAAAATAATATTTCTTTAATCTTCCATATCATATAGTTATAATATAGAATAAAACTAAGTATTCCACAAATTTATGTGAATAGTTAATACAAAAACAAATTTGATACATAATATATTGAAAAAAAATAATAAACAGATTTTTATTTAAAATTAAAAGTAAAAAAATAATTATTATAACTTATTGTCAATATTAACTTGGACGTAAAAGAAATTGTCATTTATTTCTAGTTTAATAAATTACTTAATAACATACGGGTCAATATTAACTTGGACGTAAAAGAAATAGACAATTATTTATAATTTAATAAATTACTCAACTACTTGATATTTTTTATTTGAATATTTAATACAAAAACACATTATTTTAAGTAATGAAACAATATAAATTTTATATTTATGCTTATTATTC